GGGGGGGGGGATGGTTGGGGGGGGCAAATGGGTGCATATTGTGTGTATTAGTAGCAAAGCGGGAGATAACGTGGGTGGAACCGACATCACTAAAGGGGCTTTACTGTCCAGATGCATTAATAGCTAAAGCCTTTCCTTTAAATCCCCCCTACAGCAGTGGTTCTCAAACTGTGGATAGGCGTACTGCCAGTGGTACGCGACGCCTCTCTAGCGGGGTAACCTCATATTTTCACATTTACATTTTCAATTGAGTAAATCCGAAACATACCATACCACAATTAACCCTTTCATGCATGACGGTCACTACAGTGGACAGCTATTAAAATGTCATTTTCTATGATAAGAATAGGTTTTGATGGCAGTGTTGGCATATAAGCCTCTACAGTGGACGCCTGAGAATCACCCAACACTGCCGTACAGTGGTCAGCCTTTGCAACTGCAGAATGATTGTGTCAACATTCAAAAAGAAAATTTGGTGTATAAAAACAGAACCAAATCAGTTCTTATTTTTATGTCTAAAAACACATAAAAACACCGTCTGTTTCTTTGTTTTGTATGTGGACCTCATGTAACTGATTCTCATGATCTTTTTTTTTTCGTTTTATTGATACAAATCGCCCTGCTTTTGAATAGATTTTTAATTGATTCACAGAGCAACGTTACATCCCCAGTCTCAGCAGTAATAAGCAGTAATTACTGTGGCAAATACAAAAACAAGGTACTAGGACCATGCTAAGCCAGCGGTAAATGCGGGTGCAGCACTTGGTCATTCCCTTCTTCTGTTCATTATACTATTTTTTTTATCATTTGGTATACTACTTTTAGTTTTGTAATTGGACTCGCTCTCCTAGAAAGAAAAGAGTCACAGATCACTTGTTTCAGTTGCAGATGACTTGGCTCAGACTTGGGTGAAATTGGCGTTCCACTTCTTTTCAAAAATCTACAATTGAACTAGTGAAGTTGAACTTCAACTTCAACTTAGAGTTTCCCAGAAATGGCTTGATTTTTCTTACAGTTGTGAAGACATAACAAAGTGATGTAGATGACGTGGGGCAGTGGTGGCTTAGTCAATTTTTAGATTTTCATTTACATGTCCTAAGGCACAATTCAGAGTGAAAAGGGGTCATTTTTGCTCAACTGATATGTGTAAATATTTGTCCAAATAACGTGTTAAAAAAAGGTGACAAACACTCATGAAATTGTGCAATGAGTTGGATGACTGATAATTCTTTCCATTTTTCTTTTTTTTTTGGGGGGGATAGTGGAAAGCTTCTGAGTCTGGAGGATGGAACGTCCCCTGGTAGTGGACAGGAAATGGAGGGTACCAAGAGGGAGGGACCCAGTGAGTATGAGATCATGATGGAGAACAAGAATAAGCAGGTAATGTCTTCTTTTTTTGTGTGTGTGTAGGTGTGTGTACATGTCGAAAGCAGGCGTCACCGAACTTTTTGAAACAGAGAGCTACTTCAAGGGACACTTAATAATAGATCAAAAAGCACAATAACAGTTGACTAGTTTTTTTTTTTTTAGGAAATACCCTGCAGGTACCTTAAGTAGTCCACGGGGACTACCAGGTGTCCCCAAGCACCACGTTGGTCATCTTTCTGTTTGAAATGCCTTCTTCAACGAATTAACCTTTTATCTATTTCTGTCTTTGTGGACATGCGAACTAGCATCTTGGTCACCTCAGAGATATGGACGACAAAAGATTATGGTAGTCATGGTAACAGCTAATAAATGCTCATGGGTAGTTGGAGATCTTTAATGTGTCATAAAAAAAACTCATGTACATGTTCATCTATAAAGTCTGCTACAGCGGAGGTCGCTGAGCTGAGTACGAGTACGTACTTCATCTGTCGGGAGTTTACCTTGCTTTTGGAGCGACCCCTGAGACGTGACTTTAGGCGGCTCTTTTTCCTCGTTTTTTCTGTCCCGTGGCGCATTCACGTCCTCTTTGATGTGGCGCTTTTTATGTTTAACCCTTTCATGCATGACGGTCACTACGGTGGACAGCTATTAAAATGTCATTTTCTATGATAAGAATAGGTTTTGATGGCAGTGTTGCATATAAGCCTCTACAGTGGACACCGTGTGAACTGTGCTTAGCAGAGGTGAAACACTTTACGCAGGTGTTCAACAGTGACAAGACCGAATTTGTGGGGAATTTGTAAAATTGCAGCAGTTCCTCTGTGAAACCCTGTCCAAAAGACATGAAACAAACATCTAAAAAAAAGTAGTACTTTCAGTATTCCAAGAGGAATCATTTTTTGGTGTTATTCTGCAGTGTACTATTTTTTTTTGTCTCCATTAGTTATACATTGAATTTATTAGATTTAGACTATTCTTTATTGGCACAGAAACACAAAAAAAACAGTGAGTCTGGCAACGAAATGTCGTTGCTTGGCAACCGGAGTACACGGTACAAAGTACACAGCTTATTATTTAATGGAGTTAAAACAACCTTGCAATGTATATGTCAATGCTGGACTATTCTACTCACTCTACTTCTCATACCCCCCCCCCTGCAGATAGAAGATTTAGAGCAGAAGTATGGAGGCCATCTTATAGCAAGGCGGGCAGTCCGTCGTATTCAAACAGCTTTTCGTCAGTACCAGCTGAGCAAAAACTTCCAGAAGATCCGCAACTCGCTGTCAGAGAGCAAGTTGCCTCGTCGCATCTCACTGCGCCATCCTTGCCCCTCCGCCCGAAATCAGAACATGACACAGCGACACAGTTACACTTTGCACCCAGTAGGGGAAGGAGGAGGTGGAGGAGGAGGAGGAGTAGGAGGGCAAACACCTTTTCGCTCGAAAACTCCCCCTCCTCCTCCATGTCGCTCTACATCTTTACCTACATCTGCTGCTTCGGCTCCTGCAAATCCTTCCTCTCCTATCCCTACCACAGCCCCACCTTCGGCACCCACCCTCACACAACTGGAGGACTGCTTCTCTGAACAAGTAAGTGACTCCTTTGTTTTATGTCATTTTTCCTACTTTTACTTGCTAATAGTGATCTGCGGATTGATCCTGAAATATCGATACTTCCGATTCTGGATCTTTATGCTCTGAAATCGATTCTGAAATCAAAATATCGATACTTTTGATACTTACGCATTCTGAGATGAGGTGTATCCTAAACAGAAACATGGTGAAAAGTATCCAAATGATTGAGATGTTGTCTAAGTGACGCTCGGTTGGTGGGACTACTTCTTCTTCCGCCTGGGTGTGTGCGTCATGCGTAAGCACAGGAGGCTCTACTCCGTGCTCTCACTCAGTCACTATTGATGGGAATTTCGGCTCTTTTTTTTTAGAGAACCGGTTCTTTTGGCTCGGGTCACTGAAAAAATCCGACTCTTTCGGGTCCCAAATGGCTCCTCAGATTATTTATTTTATTTTTTTTAGTTTTACAAATAACATGTTTTCAGAGTTTGAAACATTGTTTTGACATATTTTATATGATTATGTTCTCAGGTTTTTCTATTGTTGTGTTGACTGTATAGTAAATGAGGCAGCTACCTCAGTACACTCCAGAGTTTAAAATAAATAAATAAACTCTGCCTTGGATTCTTAAAGAAGCTATGATTTGAAATACACTTTTTTTTTTATTTAAAAGACAAATGATAAAATATCGGTATCGATATCGGCGATACCAGCCCGAATTTTCCTCGGTATCGGATCGGGAAGGAAATTGGGGGTATCGAACATCACTACTTGCTAAATACAAGGGGCCCTCGGTTTACCATGTCCTCGATCTATGGTGTTTCGCCTTTCCGCTGCCTTACGTTACGTTTCCCTTACGTACAAAATCTCCTTCATTTCCTCGAGACCACCCTGTTTACATTCAGTGGTAGCCCCCTCCTCCCCCCCATAAGCATGTGTCAGACCCTTCTAATGGCAGTGCCTGCAAGAAAAGTAAAGGAAATTCCATGTAAGATAAATTAGGTATAACAAAACACTCGGGGAAAAGAGCAAAATAAACTAACAAACATCTGCCTGTTACTTTTGCTTTTGAGTTTGTTTTCAGCATCAGTTTTTTTTTAATTCAGTGTTAAAATTCAATCGTTTTGCTTCATTGCTCTTTGTTGCGCCTGTTCCGTTTTCTGGCATATTTTGTAATATGTAATAACAGCTAAAATCCGGTTATGTCGCTGTTAGGAACAGGACCCTGATGTAAGTCAAGGATATCAAATCCTGATGTAACCCTAACCCTAACCACAATATCATTTATTCAAGTTGGGGTTTACTAGATATGACATATCTTAAGCCCCATGATATATATATATGTATATGTATATATATATACATATATATATATATATGTACAACAAGGCTGTATTATACAGATGGCACAACTCTGTGGGGAATAAGATGACGTGCAGTGTGTGGGCGACCTCAGTCCAAGCAACACTTAAAAAAAAACAAAACATAGAGACGGTTTTATTTTGTACTCATTAACAGAAGACTAGTCCAGAATAAACAGGAAAAATAATTCTTTATGAAACAAAAAGCCTTGAAACTGTCACTGCAATTAAACTAATACAATATATTGAAATAATACATTTAAAAAAAACATTCTTCATAACACAGACCTGAACAAAAAGTAAGTCTTCGCTGGTCTTTATCCCTGATGCTAAGACATTTCCTAACAAACATACTTGACCTACAAAAACAAACTACCCATGAGGGCAATATTCTAAAATGGTTCTGAGGAAAAGATGTTACTGGGTGAGAAGACCCTAGAAAAGATTTATGGATGTTGTTAAAGAGGACCTGAAGGTGGTTTTATGTCAAAGCAGAGGAGGCAGGGTGTAGGGTGAGATGGAGACCGAAGGTCTGCTGCAGTTGCAGTTCGGTCGCACCTGAGTATAAGACGCATACCCAGCCAAAAGATGAAAAAAAAGCCCTTTCACGGCCATCAATCATGATCGTAAATTGATTTTTTTTTTTTTTTTTGCCTCAGTTTGAAACTTTCACGGTCATCAATCATGATCGTAAATGGATTTTTTTTTTTTAAAAAAAACAGGTTTATAGTGTGTTAATCGTCTCTTTTGCAGCTGCACTCTTTGGCCCAATCAATCGACGAGGCCCTTCGAGGTTGGAGCTTATCAGACGGCGAAGAAAGCAAGGGGCTGCTAATGGACCCGGGGGCACTTTGTGCAGTCGCCGAGAGCACATGTCTGCCGCGCAGCGCCAGCTCGCTGCTCATGGCCTTTAGGGATGTCACTGTTCACATTGACAGCAACAGCTCCTACACCATATCTTCTGCCACAACCACAACCACAACCTCGCTTGGCAACACCGGGGGAGCCGAGCCTGGCAGCAGGAAGAGCTCCCTGAGCAGAAGTGCTGGGCAAGGAGGCGGACTATTAATGGAGGACCCGGAGTTCCCTGCCCCGCCGCCCAACGAAGAGCTGGAAATGGTTGATCCGGGATCCAGGACTTGCTCTGGAGTTGGAGAAAGAGGGATTGCAGAGGTGGACACTATCTCGGACCAACTCGGGTCCACCTCCACATCTACCTCTACTTCCACCTCTATCTCCACCTCTACCTCCACCCAGTCAAACCAGCAACAGGCTCAGATCTACACCCAGTACCAGCAGTACCACTTTACCCATCCCCAGCAGGTTGCTCAGGGGCCAAGCCCTGAGGCACTGCAGGCCCTGGTCATCTCGGTTCCTAGGGACCGTTGCCAGGATCCGGTCTCTTGCTGCTCACCAACGTTGTCCACAGACACACACCGAAAGCGCCTGTACCGCATAGGACTAAACCTCTTTAATGTGTGAGTGGACAGCAAACAAATGCCTCGACACACACACCCAGAAACAGTTGGTCGTCAGGTTACATTTGTAGTTCTTACATAAACATATATACATACCCTTTTTTCCCCAAGAAAGACATGCCAGAAATGCCAAAAACAGGGGTCTCAAACTCCCTGCTGACTGGCAGGAAGTAGCTTGTGAATCACATACCATATACCATATATTGCCCTCTCTAGGACCACTGGTGAAAATGTTGTTTGTTTGTACAGTGGAACCTCCCTTTTTCATTTCAGTTGACGAAACGAAATTTGTAACCAAAAATTGCCCCCCCTGGTTGTCGAAAGCCTCCCTTTTTCATTTCAGTTGACGAAACGAAATTTGTAACCAAAAATTGCCCCCCCTGTTGTTGTACCATGACTTGGTTGCAGAACAGGCCAAAAATATCAGGCAGCCAGCAAGTGATCACTTGCCGGTATTTCTTGCACTGTGCTATTGCCTTTTTTTTTTAGTGAAAGGCGAAAAGAAAAAGTAGCGAGAAGCATGAGATTAGCGCTTGTGTTTCACATCTGGCTTTCAGATTCTTGTCCAGCTTCAGCAATAGAAAAGTGAAGTAAAGAGATTCTACAAAAGCACGAGATTAGCGCTTGTGTTTCATATCTGGCTTTCAGATTCTTGTCCAGCTTGTCTTTCCTTTTTATAAATGTATTCTTTATTCAGTTGTGTTTATCCTAAGTTTGAATACTCAGTCCACTGGGGGTCCAAGAAGAGATTAATCAATTTTTACATTGATTCCTATGGAGAAAATTGTTTCCGTTTTTGAAATTGTTTGGTTCACGAACGGCCTTAAGGAACGAATTCAATTCGAAAAACAGAGGTTCCACTGTATAATATAATTAGGATAGTTATTTGCTGTAGATATTCTAATAATGGCTAATGCATGTGAACATTTCAAATTCTATTAAGAAATCATTGTTTTAGAAAACCACAAAAAATTACCAAAAGGTTCAAAAAGAAATATAGTTCCTACGTTGATATGCTTTCTTGAGGTGCCCTGGCAACACAGGGTGTATGTGAAGATAGCTGATAACGTCCTATTTACATTTGTATTTGAAAGTCAATTAGTATCAGGTGAGATACTGCCTTTACCGAAGAAACAATCAACAATCACAACAATCAAAACATATTAATATTCATGTTACAATCAGAAAGTTTTTTTTTGTTTTTTGTTTTCAAATCACTGAGGTGACCCTCAAATGAGATGGCATTAGTGACTCCTAGCTCAGTGGATTTTAAGATTATTGGATTAATCAAGGTTTCAGGGTGCTACGTATCAGAGGTGTGGACTGGAGTCTCATGACTTGGACTCGAGTCAGACTCGAGTCATCAATTTGATGACTTTAGACTCGACTTGACAAAATGTAAAGAGACTTGGAACTCGACTTGGACTTTAACATCAATGACTCGTGACTTCACTTGGACTC